GCTTTCGGAAGCCCATCTCCAAACACACCCTTTGGGGCCATCAAAATCAATGTGTTTAAGAGCATAGATTACCTTGGTTATCGGTCCTCACGCACCCACCCAAGTGATGATTGGTTGTATGGTGAATTTTGATGCGTGTAGAAGAAAGAATGCGCGAACTGAAAAGCTAGAAAGCACTGTACACGTGTTTTGACCTTGTTGTGTCTCATCAATGGTACGAAATCATTGATGCGACTGAGGATCGAATCGGTTATCCCGGTGGCGGAATGCAAACATACCACTCATTTTTCAAATCAAGGAATCGCTTTATACATCTCGAAAGGTGGATATTCAGCAACCATATATCCACAGTGTGTCAACAATCAAAAATATCTAAATGTAATACAGCAATCAAAAGAAGTGAAACGCACAGAAACATGAAAAAACAAAATCATACCAGTGTGTTTGCGATTGTCATGAATGCAAGCATCATAATCACGAGATATGTTAAATTCAACTATTTTATGGTAATCTCATCAGCTGTGTACATATATTCAGATCACGTTTTGTTAGAAGAGTGACAGATTTGGGGGCAGGCAAACACGCAGCGGGAAGAGAACTCAATCAATACAAAGGCCAAAGGTCGCTAATATGAATCGGATTGGGCAGGAAGGGGAATCACTTCAGGGTGGGAGGAGGGGCGAGGGAGAGAAAAGGCATGAGAAAGAAATTGACCAGGACAGTGCGAGGCTAGCCAAAATTTCGGTCTGTTTACATAAATCGGGCTTGTAACGTCGAACGTCAGCCACTTCAGCGAGCCGTAGTAAACGGCTACCTTTCTGGCGGATCAAGACACAAAAGAGGTGCCTAGGTTTGTCACATTCTTTGCAATCCAGTATGTCAGGCAATTGAACTGGACGGAAGCTTGGGCCCGTTAGACGCCAAATTCTTCGGTACATGTTCTGCTATCCTGGTAGCTAGTCGTCTCTCAGTTCATCCGATTTACTTGCTACTGCAGGTACATTAAAATAGGCAAACACAGGAGGAGATAACTGATGAATCGTGTCGTGCACTGTCATAAGGGAGGCAGCATTGCTTGTTTCAATCTGCGCTGTATCTGCCTATCATTTTGATCATCCTGAAGCGGTATTGGTGACAAAAAACAGCTTCTTTTGAGGCGGGGCCACTTTGTTCTGGTTTATTCAGCGGCGCTCCTCCACGTGGAAGTCAACAGATGGCGTGAAGACGTGGCATGAAGAAATTCACAGAGCCATTAGGTAGAGTGGATGTCTCTCGCCTTCTAGGTTACGGTCCGAAAGACTCCATAAATGGTTGGTTGGAGACATTGATGGATATGACAGCGAACCGACAGCAGTGGTGTTCTTGTTGTCGTTTCTTATCAGGTCAGAATGCTTGAAGCGGTATGTATGCAGAGTTCGATTGTGCACTCTGTGTGTTGACTACAATGATTCACCTTCTTCTCCCTCCCTCAAAGTAGGTCCCATTGCTGTCTACCTTAAATTTGACCACTAATCTTGCGAGTTTGGCAGCGATCAGTAAAGTGCGCTTCACTGTATTTTACTGTACGATGATGGTAATGATGATGATGCTCCGTACTTTGAAATTAACCTTTTAGGGTATCCATTTTCGTGAAGTGCCATGGATAATAGTCAACGAACATCGAACTCTAACGTTTCACTGGAGCAGATTATCCTGGCTCTGGAGAACAAACTGTGCACCAACGATGGTTTGTATTGTGCTCGACACAAACTTCCAACTTTAGGATATTTATTGTCCCGTCCTTGTCGGTTTGTTTCTGCGCCCATGTTCTGCAATGAGTTCATGGTTGGTAAGAAATCTTGCGAGACACGGCACAATAGAGTGCCTGTAAGCTTCAGTGCGTGCCTTTATACGTTTATGACTGGAACGGGTGAATGAGTAAGAAGGGCATTATCGAACAGAGGAATATAGGGGTTGGGAATAATCAGGCACAATCGTCTTAGGGGATGTTTCACAGGCCTTGAGATGGTGTGCCTTCACATGCTGTACCAGATATTCCCCGTGGCATAAGACTACATACTGACAGAAAGTTGAGCGATCGGGAACAACTGATCGGACCGTTTTTCAATACACCAGTCACCTTGTTTCCTACTTCCATGAAATAAGTTGTCAGGTTGGAAATTTTTCCCACCCAGTTGACAACCCCAGATACAAATGCTGAAGTGAGCTAGGTCCTGGTGTTCAAGCTTGCAAAGATGGATTGTGCTGTATTGTGTATACAAAAACAGTTAGGTCAGTTGTCTGGTTGTGAAGTGGACACTATGCTTGCTTTTTTCGTGCGAGGTTTCGGTCTACATTCGATTCGATGGGTTTGCACTGCTGATGAAACCTGATTAGGTCGAAACAGGTGTATACAAGGCTTCCTATCTTTTCCCTTCATTTTTCCTTAGTTCTATATACAACAAATTTCACCATGTAATGAAAATGAATCTTCTACTACGCTCTAGCTATATTAATTTATTGGGATGGTTTGTTTGGATTAGCCCAATCAACTTCTCGTGTACTGAACAATTTAGGCATGGCCCTGTCGTTTTGTACATGGATTTAGCTTCATCGAGTTTTCACTGCTCTCGACTTGTTGAATTGTATTGTATTGTATTGTATTTGTAACTTTTGTAAGCATATATGCTTACATTTCAGTTAAAAATGTACATTATTCGTCACGCAGAATGAAATAAAAATAATCAAAACAAAAGGTAAACAAGGTCGGTGATATACATATCATGTACGAAGCATTTGACGTAGTTCATTTGAGACCTGTTCCTTTTTGGTAAGTAGTCGGGCCAGGTAGGGGATAAGGGGAAATTTTATAAATGTTAATGCGAGAGGGTAGCTATCGAAACGAGGAGCGTGTGGATGGATGGGAATGTTTTGCGTTTCTGATGTACATGCACTAGTTTTTTTCAAAATCAAATTTTTTTGGTATCTGACTATCTGAATAAGTTCAAACACCAGACTGTTTTGTTATCTCATGTGCTCGTTCCTCGTTCTGTTTATTAAAACAAACCAGAAACAACTCAACGAATTCGAAAAGAGTAAAGAACACCTGAAACTACGCGAACGTCTTTTCGCCCGCTTTGGTCCCTGGCCTGATGACAAGCGTGCGACTGATGCCGCAGAACTGAAGGAGCATTTGGCCGCTCAGGAGTACTTCCTAGAGCACAAGGTCTATCCGGGTGAGGAATCTCTGGAGAACGCAGACCAGAAGACTCCGGGAAAATTAAACACCGGATTTTACACAGTACACACTAACCACGGTCCTCGGGATCTTGGAGATTTTGTCCTCTCGCGAAGTTCACCGCCAGAAGCACCAGATGCCAGCGGAGAACCAAAGACTACATGATCTGCGCGACTCAGTTGGACGAGGGAAACAACGGCTGTTTGAATTGCTGCCGTTTCTTGTGGCTGTGGTGTCGATTTGGGCGGTAGCAGCGATTCCAGATTTGCCGGTGCTCAGTTCTCAGCGCTCTCGGTTTGAGCCCGATGTGTCGTATGCCCTCCCCTGTTGCTTGCTCCTTCACCCAGCCATTCAGGCCTCGAACAAGCATATCCCTCGATTGCTCACCAATTGCTCCCCCCCCGCCCACACATCAATCGGCCACGTATTCTCCCGAACACACATGCGTTTACATCTCCACCAATTGATGCTTTCATTTTCCCCCATTTTACACAATCCCACTTGAGGGTGGGGACGGCGAACAGATTGATTTGTACATGTGACTTGTTCCCGGCACACAACGGTTCCGGTTGTTGTTGTTGTTGTACTCGGAGTGCTTCATCGTGTTCGCTTGTGGATCATTTCGTTTACGGAACATCCCGATACTGTGCATACTCACTGACACTCACAGATCTGCTGGCCTATGCCATCACCGCGCACAAATGAATTTTGTCACCTTCCGTCTGGTTCCCGTGTAAATGACTATCTATCTATATAAATACACCTGCTAATGTAAAAATACTGTTCTCGCACACCAGGCAGCAGTGAATCCGTTATTCCACCATCTGCTTCATCGATGCTCGAGCAGTTTCTCATTTGACTTGGTTTGATCTCGCAAGCCTCTTAGGCAATCCCTTAACCGAAAACAAAACAACCGGTTAAAAAGAGATACCGAGAAGCTCTGTGTACAAAAACGTAAAATAATGGATGGACTGCTTCAAACGGGATTGTCAGTCAGAGTCCGGACGAAATCAGGCATCAGGGAGTTTCTGCACACAAAAGTGCGAGATAGAATAAGTCAGTTGTTGGAGAGAGAGAGAGTGGAGGAATGGGATTTACATGCAGACAGGTCGATATGGGACAGAAGTTTGTTCACACGCTTCAAGCCACTATCCATATGTTCTTGTTCTGTATGAGAAGAGACTAGGGAATTTGGAGAACACACGCCTCAACAACTCTAACTCGGCCCACAGTAGGTCGGGGAATTCGCAGGAGGGTAATGGACTAGTATTTGGGCAACATGCTACTGAATGAAAGTTGTCCATCAGTACAAAAGTGACCCAAACCTTCTTATTCGGAACAGAAGTCCTCTTATCCCCTTGCGAGCAACAGCATGTATACCGACAGATCATCGATGAATACTTTCAACGGTAATGTCTAAGTGCTACACATTTCTGAATCTGGTCATTGACTCTTCATTATTCTGCGCGTTTTCAGATGGAGCCGGGGAGCGGTTCATGGTGAAGTTGCATTTGAGATTAAGATCGGATACAGTGGAGTAAGTTGTAAGTTTGATTAGAAATGGGAATAATAATGGCAATATAATTGTCATAATTAAGTGACAATCAGGGCCGGGGGAGGTGATAGTTATGTCTCATTTATTCATCGTAAAATTATGGGGTAATAAGACTCCGGACTGGTTCACTGATATTAATGATTCTCCTCGTATTTCACATACCGTTCACGATGAGAAAAAGGTAAGCCAAAAGTTTTTGATAAATGGAACAAATGTCGCATACAGTCTAAAGCTGTAGAGTGTCTTCAAGAGAATGAAACCAGTGAATATCGTTGAGTTTTTCGTTAGGATAGCGAGAAAAAATGAATTGAGAGACAGATAGAGAGCGAGCGAGAGGATCCATCATGCAGCGGCTTTTGGAAAATGACTGACAAGTATGTTTGGGGATGGTGAGAGATAACTAAAGATATTATAGAATCGATCGCTCCTGGAATTTTAAGCCCTTAAGAGTGACCCGACTGAAACGTTTGGAAAATGTAGCGGCTGTTGAAGCTGTGGACATGAGCCTCATCCTGACCGGGATTCCAGCATTCTGGCATGGTTCGTAGTTCCAGACCAGAGGTTAGATATGTGTGCTGAAACTGCCAGACAATACCGTTTCAGAGAATGCAAGAAATGTAGGATTAGGGTTATCGGGACCGAGTGACTGCGGCCCAAATGCCTTAATATAATACAATAATATAATACAAAGTCGTTATGGGAAATTGTTTCAAATCTGGACAGGTTTATAAGAGAACTCGGAACAAATTAACGGGGAGAAGGGGAGAGAAGACGAAACATCGATGAATGCATCTTTCGACCGTTCATTTTTGATGAAAAAACCGGGAAAAGTTCTTTTTCTTCGGACACACGTTTGCAATCACCGACCCTAAAGCATTAGCTTTTATAGAATATATTCAGATTTTTTACTTGATAGAGAAGCACATCAACTTTAGTTAAACCATCCAGATGTGTACATTTAAACACATGTTCCTTTACACGACGAAAGGTGTAGTTGTCATTGCTCCCTCTCTCGTACTCATTGTCTATTCGAATATCATCCTTGTCATCATTCGATTTTTTCACGATCTGGTGTGAAGCCTTCCAGGTGAACTGTCATGTGTTCATGCGTAGTCGCGTTTTTTCACCTACCCCATACTGCATCGCTAAACGAACCCTTTTCTCTGACAAAACTGACGGTGCGCGTACTTCCTACTGTTGGTTTGATTGGCTCCATCAAGTGGGTTATAGTTTGTCAAAATCCAGTGTGTGCACCGTGAAAATAGTCACGCCTCTGTTCGAAGTATTACCAACTCTCAGTCATCCATCATTCGGGTTGCTTGTGCAATTATTCATGTCTCTTCCTCACGTCGTCTGTTGGCCTCAACAGGCCTAACTGCACTCTGCAAGCGAATCGCAATGACGTGAACGACTGTAATGCGTGCGCAGAAAGAGCGTGACACCGCAGTTTCCGCCGAAATGTTTGCATCTGCACGAACGCATACCGCGATCTCACTTACTTGCCCCCCCCCCATGCGCATTTCATCTTTCCTGTGTTC